AAGGAGCTAAAGGTGTAGGGAAGGTGTGATACGTAGGGGAAGAACAAAAAGGGAAAAGAAAAAAATGTGAGAGAATGAAAAGATGAAAATAAAGTGTTTGTAGATGGGGAGGGGAGGAGGGGGTGAAGGGAGGGCAGAGGTAAGGGGAAAAAAATGAGAATCAAGACTTGCCATGTAAAGGTACATGATCCCAACAATGAATGTAACTGTACTGTATCCCTAAATGTACCAATAAACTCAATAAAAAAAAAAAAAAGAAACACATTATCCAGAAATGTACTTAAGAATGCACTACTAATAAACACATTTATACAATAGGACATGTTAGTCAGGTAATGTATTTACTGAATCATTCTACAAAGAGTATACACCAAGCTTTTCATATTGCTTCTATAGGTTTATGCTAAAGAATTGTCACAGAATTTTGAAAACTACAACAGATCTTTCTTATAGTATTCACAATTATAAACACTGTTCATAATATGCAGTTACGTAGTCTTGTGTATCTCTTCTATTGAAGGTTTCTCATTACACTGTGTTCTTTTGCAACAAAAAAGTATTCCTATAATATGTACATTGTTGTCTCTATGTAAATTCATGTGAAGAAATGTCCTATGATAAAGAACATGTCCATATTTGATATTTATACTTACTTTCCAGTTTCATGTCTCTGAAAGATACTGACCTGACCAACAACTTTTTCATAGTGCTTACATGTATAGGGTTTCTGTCCAATGTGAACATTTTCACGTATTTGAAGGCAACTGGAAGAATTGAAAACTTTTCCACATTTTTTTAGTGCTTTCTCTCCACTATTACTTCTTTTACTTCTGAAAGGAATTGCGTAAAGGCTTTCCCACATAGGTTAAACATGTAGGGTTTTCCCCACTGTGAATTCTTTTAGGTTTACAAAGTAAACTTATTAGTGAACCCTTTTCCACATTTTTTCCATATTATTTACTTTTTATTGAATTTGTTAATGTTACAGAGTCCACATTTTTTTTGTTGTTGTCGTTCCAGGGATCACATTTGGGACCTTGCACTTGCGAAGCAGACAGCAGAACCACTGAGCTAAATCCTCAGCCCTCCGTATTGTAGATATACAGTGTTTCTCCACAGTGTAACTTCTTTCACGTCTATGGAAGTAAGCATAATGAGCATAGGCTTTCCCACATTGCTTACATATGTAAGGTTTCTCTCCAGTGTGAGTTCATGTATTTTGAAGCAACAGGAAGAAGTGAAGGCTTTCCCACATTGACTGCATATATAGGGTTTCTCTCCAGTTTGAGTTCTTTTGCGTATTTAAAGGTAGTGGGAAGAACTAAGGCCCTTTCTACAATGGTTACACAGAGAGATTCTCCTCACTATGCATTCTTTATGACATGAATCTCTGAGATTCTTACACTGCTGAAATATATAGGGTCTTCCCCCAGTGTAAATTATTTTATGTCTCAGAAGTGAATTCTTCTTTGTGAAGGCATTCCCACATTGCTTACATAGGGTTTCTCTCTAGTGTAAATTCTTTCATGTACTTTAGAATCACTACAAGTACTGAAGGCTTTCCCACACTTCTTACATACAGTGTTTCTCTCCCATGAATTCTTTCATGTTTATAAAACTATCTTTTTTTTTAGCAAAGGGTTCCCATATTTCTTACATATAAAAGGTTTCTCTCCAGTGTGAGTTTTTTAATGTATCTGAATGTAATTGGAAGAAATAAAGGATTTCCCATACTGCTTATATTCATAAGGTTTTGCTGCAGTGTTTGTTCATGATTCAGAAAGCATTGGAAATAATTACAGATTTCCTTATGTTCCTCACATTTATACATTATCTCTCCAAATTGCTGATACTAATGTGGTTTGAGTTGATTGTGAGCTGCGATAGACACATTTAGAAATAAAGACTCATCAGGATTTCTCTATACATAAGGCTTTCCCCTAGTTTTAAACCAGGAGGTTTCATGTTCACATTAGGACCTGGAGTTCACATTGGTTCCTTATTTTATATTGATAGTATCTTTCTACCTATTGACTTCTTAGATTTCTCCTGGAATTTTTGCATTTATCTTCAAATTGCTGGTCCTCGCATTTTTCCCCCACAGCACCCAGATTCCTAAAGGCATCCTGCATCACATCTATGTGGAACTTCTTTGGAGAAGGATTTAGCAAAGTCTACCCTACTGTGAAGTACAGAGCTACATCCTCAAAGGTCACTGCCACCATTTCTTGGCTTGAGAGTATCCTAAGGTCTTTCCAATAGAAGTCAGTAGAAGTCAGAAAGACACTCAGGCTTAATCAGCAGACACCTCTCAGCAACACACAAAGGTTTCTGACTTTGGTGCCATGACACAGGAAATCCTCTTCCCTGTGGAAAGTGATCTAAAATCTCTGAGCTTAATTTTCTACTTCTATAAAACAAGGATAAGAATTCTCATGTAAAGGAAAGTATCTTATAGTATATTCTTCATAAATATTATGTATTATGCTTGAATTCTTCAACATAGACAACATGTTATGAATGGATTAACATTCAAGGTGCAGTTGTCCTAATCAGAAACTCATATTCCAGGATGGCAACTAGTGGTCTCATCAGGCAATCTTAATGACAAAGATCATTCTATTTTATGTACAAGATATCAAAAAATGAATTTTCACTGTTGACATTAATAGTATCAATAATGGATGTTAAGAAACAGGTACTCATTTTTTCCCCTTCAAATAATATGAATTTTACTAAATGCTATGAATTTTATTCAGTAGCACTGAAACAAAATTTCATAGTAAAATTTATTTAAAAACTAAATACAAGCACATATATGTATTACACACACACACACAAATAGAGCAGTTCCATGAAATCAAATCAGCATTAACAGAAATATCTTGATTAACCCTATAATTCTCTCCTTCCTTCCCCCATTAAAATGCTATCAGTAAAGACCTAACAAGCTATCAGCTACTTCAGGATCCTAGTCATGTGCATTATCGTCTATTAATTTAGTGTTGGTACTGCTCATTAAGAAAAATGTCAGTATCTATAGAGCTTTCACTGAGGAAGCAGAATATTTTGATGAATAGGTCAGCAAATTAGCTACCACTCTGTATTATCTGCTGTCTTCCACCAAAGCAGCTTATAGTACACAAAAATGTAAAAAAAAAAAAATCCCACCACAAAGCATATGGGTCTCTTCATGTATAATCTGGTGGAATGCAGAGCCTGATGAAGAAATGGTGATTTTTCACATGTAGGCTAAAAATCTAATTCCTGAAAAAAATTAAGTTAGCCACACCATGGTTCTCCTAAACCATGGTCAGACATCCAGTCTATCTTTTTTTTTTTTTTTGTACTGGGGATCAAACTGTGAGGCAGGCAGCAGAACCACTAAGCCAAATCCCCAGTCCCAGTCTATACTTGTGTTAGTGAATCCAAGTAGAAAATCAACTAAGTTGAGGTAGTTGGCCTTTCCAGCAACAAGGAAAAGGTTAGTCTAGCATGCTATTTATTTGAGGTGTCATTATTTAATGTTCATCATTATGGTTATACTTTCTGATCAAGGGACAGAATGAATACTACTTCTTATGAAAAATTTCAAGCCCTGGAATCCTTCTGAAAAGAAATAGTCCAAATACCAGTTCCATTTCTTCCCCTGAATAGAGCTCATGTTTACTGTTTTTTCTTCTGGGCCTTCCTGTAGCAAAAAGGAAGCAGCATAGCTCAACAGACAAGGGTGATGGACTAAATTTAAGCTATTTTTATACTTTGCTGCTCCAGTTTTTTCTAGGATTATGGGATCAATATATATTCCTTTCTCAAATGGTTTGGATGTCCACAGGCAACCAACCATAGTTGTCAAATAGTGATTAAACTCTTGACAAGTCTTGGTGCTGAAACTGAACTCTGATTTTGTTTTTTGTACCAATTCATTCTTCTTTGCAGCAGTAAAATTTTTATGATACCTGTGCATAATACAAGAAAGCTGGTTCAAGATACTGGTATCCAGGCTGAGAAGTGAAGAGTAGAAGATCCCAGGAGGAAACAACACCACTAATGGAAGGTCATGATTTATATATATGTCACATACCTTCTCATAGAAATCCAAAATAAAGTGCAGTAGGAAAGTACTGTGGCTCTCTAAGCGCATTGCAGTAGAGGACAGCCATCCTACATAGTGAATCAGTTTAGACACTGAGTTCATGGATCCACCCAAAGTTGTCTGTAGAGGACTGCCCATCATAGGCTTCCTGTGGCTGTCCATAGAAAGCCACAACAGCCAATTCTGTAGTAACTCTTTCAGACTCTGAAGAACACTACATTTGAAATAAATGGTTGATGTAAAGAAGAGCTGTGCTAGATGGTCAAAAAGTAGTGGCTTCATTTCAGAGAAGCTACTAAAAGGAATCCAGCTCACAAGCTGAAGGATCTGTGACCGACAAGAGAGGCCATCCCAGAAAGGAATGCTCTTATACAGGAAAGCTTCACAAGAATAAAACCCCTCTTGTAAGAAGCACTCTGCCCTGGTGATGGTGTCCAGCAAGTTGGTAAACTCTGTTCTGTGTTCATAACTATTTACTTTATACCAAATACATTCTTCTTGTAATGTCTGATTCAACCAGTGGTAGAGTCTCAGTAAGAGTGACTCATCTCCAACACAGTTAATATAGTGAAGTAGCAGAGAGTTGTTTAGCACTGAACCCATCTGAGAAGGCAGCTCTAAGCGATCAATATTTTGTAAGAGTAGAGGGAAGCTCTGAAGCCTTTCTAATGGAAGTGATCTATCGCAACTGAGACAATCAGAAAGACTCATCTCTTTTTTTCCACATCCGTTACTGGAGCTACTAGAATTTAGTACTGGTATAAATGAGTGAGAGTTCCATTTTCTTTTTAAAGGATGGGAATTAGTTGGCCGTAATGTCAATCTTAGAGGTTCTGAAAAAAGTCCCTTGTTTCTAAGTCTCACAGCAAATACAGCTGAATTCCACAGATCTCCTGAGTTCTTAAAGTAGATCTTCTTCCTTATAGGCAAAGATACAGAAATCAAAGTAGGAACGAAGAGCTTATATAGTGACAACAAAGCCTGGAGATGTGGCTGCATTCCCATTTTGGCCTGAAGATCAAGCAGTTTTCTCACACGAAATGGTTTGACACTTTCTTTTTTGGTGAGCAAATATAACAAGTGGCAGACATAAGGACACAGTGCACCATCTTGCAAGGAAGCAAAAAAGAAGCCATAAAGCAAGTTAATTTGTTCCTTATGATCAATGAAGTCAAACATTACAATCAACCAACGATAAAAAAGTACCTTGATGCTACCAGAACACTTGCCAACACAGAGCCAGGAGACTGCTTTAACCACAGAATTTCCTGATATTAAAGTTGTTGGAACCATACACTTCAATATCCGTGTGTTTATAGCATTTCCAAATTTGCCACTGAGTGCCACATTCAGTAAAATGTCTATTGCTTCTGGAGCCAACCCATTTTTCCAAGCTACATTTTCCACAGTTTTCAAGTGTTTTTCCAAAATTTTATCTTTACTGCATGAAGTTTTAATGGGACCTTTCTCACAGTATCCCACTGCTATTTGGAGAGTGTCTTCAGCTTGATCATCTGTATGTTCATGAGCTTCCACTGGATTTTGTTTCAAGATGGTCTTTGCGTCACTTGGTTTCTGTTTTACTTTCCAGGCTGAGAGATTGGTTTGAAAGGTATTCCTAACTTGTGAAGTTCTACTTCGTGCCTGGGAATTCTCAACTCTCTTTTGAGGCAACATTACTATATATGTTCTGATACCCTCTTAGGCCCTGCAACTTCCAGAGTCCAGAAATCACCTTCAGGATTCAAATGCTGCGCTCTCGTTGATACTATTACTGATTCCCAAGATATGTGAACTGGCTGAAATATTTAAGACTCTTCCACCCTTGCATGAACAAGTAGCAAAGAGCTGGACTTCCCGTTGCCTGATGCTTTGTTCTGGCTGCTCCAATGAATCTTCCATGCAAGGTCATGGTTGCAGAATCTGAAAGGACAGTGCTGGGATTTAATCAAATTCAGAATAGGAGGAATGTAGTACCTTGTCTTTGCTTGATAACAAATGTTTAATAAATATGAGACAAAAATGAGCATAAGATTGGTTTGTTAACTTGTTATTAAGTGGTTAGGGATAATTTTCACCCACCTCCTATAACTATTTACTAAAATAAACATGATTCAACTAACAGTTATTTCCCCTTTTAAACCACTTGTGGAACCTCTGGTCTTTTGTATGTGTGTATGTGTGCATGTATGTAAGTGAAACTGAAAAGAATTTACTTTTGATGTAGTCATACCAAACTCTAGTAGGTCTACTGACCTCCTAAGAAACCTGTATTCAAGGCACTGACAGCAGCTCCAGTATTATATAGTGGAAGTACTATAGTACAAGACAAAATATGCAGAGTCAGGCACTCTTAGTCAAACTGGGGTTTAGTTTATCAGTATCTCAAATCTGTTTCTACAGGATCATGTCAGTGTGAGGGAAGATGACTGCCTACAAGGCTTGTATTTCTTAGAGCTTGAGATAAGCTGGGAAAAGAAACGACTTAGAGAAAATAGGCCAGAGGAGAAAAACAAGAGTTAGGTGGGTCAGTGACTGCATTCTGCTTCAGGTTTAAGGCAGTGACTGAAGACTTCTAGGGACCACTTAGCGGGTCTATATGATGCTATAAAAACTAGTGGTTGCATGGTGGTATATGGCTGTAATATCAGCACTCAGAGGCTGAGGCAGGAGGGCTGCAAATTCAAGCCCACCCTGGGCAATTTAGCAAGACTGTCTCAAAATTAAAAATAAAAAGGGATGATGATGTAGCTCAGTGTAAAAGCCCTGGGATCAACCCCCAGTACTACCCCACACAAACAAACAAACAAACCCCTCACACACACACAAAAGTAAAAGCTGGTGGTTGAAATCTGTTGATTATGATGTCCCTGTAAAACTTGAAAATAATCTTACTTTTATCTTGGTGCCTTCAGTGTTGAAGGACAGCAGAGAGACTGGATGAAATTAGGTCTAGTCAAACTTGTATCGTCAGTATTATCAGTTTAACACTCCTTAAATGATTACTGTCTATATGCAGAGTTGGGCAAGAATCTGACCCCAAATTTAAAAGAGAAAAGAGTCAGGAAACAACAGGAAGGCAGAAATGCCAAACTTATCTTGTTTGTAGTTACATCTATCTGCAGGCCCAAATGGAGTCAGTGCTTTCAGCAAAAGCAGCTTTTAAAAGTCCCTTGACTTCTTTATTCATACATTTTTGCTGGATGTAGATTGTTCTCAGCACTTGAAACATGTTTTGTCATTCTTCTGGCCTTCGTGGTTTTAGAAAGACACTGTCATTGGGATTGTCTTTTCCTGTAGGTAAATTGTCATCTCTGACTCGCTTCTTTTAAGACTTTATTTTTCAGAAATTTGACTAGTTTGTCTTAACATGAATTTGTTTGGGTTTATCCCATTTGAGGTTTGCTACACTTTTTCCATCTCTAAATGTATGGTTTTTGCCAGTTTTTGGAAAATGTTAGTTATTATTTCTTCAAGTACTTTTCAGCTCACCCTTCTCTCTACTTCTGGGAGTGAAAAAAAAAGAAAAAGGTCCCGCCAGTTTCAACTCTATTAACTTTTTTTTTTTTTTTTTAAAGACAAGGTCTAAGTTGCCCAGGCTGGCTCCAAATTGTCAATCCTCCTGCCTTGGCCTCTTGAGTATATGGGACCGCAGGCATGGATTACCATGCCCAGCTCTGTTCATCTATCTTTTCTAAGCTATTTTCTTCCCATTGTTGAGATTGGATAATTTCTATAGTTATGTCTCTGCAAATTCATTGATTCTTTCCATTACTGTCTAACTATGCACCTATCTATCAAGCATTTCAATTTTGATTATTGTATTTTTTTAGATTGAAAATTTCCGTTTGGTGATATTCAGATCCTTGAGTTATAGCCAGTCTGACATACGAACAACTTGAATTACGAATGCAATTTTAGTTTTAACTTATGACCAAAGTCTTTAGTTATGACCCAAATGCTTGTGCTTCCAGATGGTCTGAGATACAGATTTAACCCTTAAAGAGTTCTGGAAGGAATATTATAACATCCTTTTCCTATGTGGGATTGGGAGATCCTTAGCCAATTTCTAAGGACACTTGATATCTTCCTAGAAGAAAGTGTGGCCTAAAATTATACAGCAAAGTGACTTTGAAGGCTATTGACCAACTTGAGTTATAACCACCCCTCAGGAACAAATTGAGTTCGTAAGTCAAAGGTCTACTCTATTTCAAGATTTATTTCTTTGCCAAGACTTCATGTTTTTCACTTGTTTCAAGAGTATTTGTAAATTCTTGAAGAATTTTTATGATGACTGCTTTAAAATTCTTGTCAGATAATTCAATGTCTTCTCAATATTGGCATTTGCTCATTATTCCACTTAGTTTGACATCTTCCGGGTTCTTGGTATGGCAAATTATTTTCAATTGGAACACAGATACTTTGTATAAGTCTCAGGGCCTTGTTTAAATTTTTTTTTGTTGTTGTTAGTAGGGATTGAACTCTGGTCCTTGCACTTGTGAGGCAGGAGGCAGAACCTCTGAGCTCAATCCCTGGCCCTTCCTTGTTTAAATCTTGTGATTTAGTACCCTCCTCATCACACTAATCCAGTGAATGAAAGAGTTACCACTTCATTACTGCCAGGTGGGGGTGGAAGTCTTTATTTCTCTGCTCACCCTCTATACACACTGGGGAAAGGAGGATCTTATTATACCTGGGTTGGGGCAGCTGAGTAGGCTATCCACTGAATCTCTGCTGTATTCACCCTGGCCAATGAAGGGGAAACAAGAGGTCATCAAATTCTTCACTCCATTAAGCTTCATCGCATACACCCCAGCAAGGAAGAAGACAATGCCTCTTTACCACCAGTGGAGTCAAGGCTCTAGGTTCCAGCTTGGTCTCAGCTAATAGCTTTGGGAAGAGTTGCTTATTACCACCAAAAGGGATGAAAACCTTGGTTCTCCATTCTGCCTTCTATATCTCCCAGGTGTAGAGGATAGGGAGAGATGTCTTCCTGAAGTCTGTCAAAGGTGGAGGTCCACACACTTTTCATTCAGCCTTTGGAGCAGTGGGGGAGTAGCACTATGGTGTTTGCGCATGTGTTTTGGTGGAATGGAGTGGTTACTGTATCAAATTTTTTCTGTCTTGCATGGCTGCTTTTCTCCAGGTCTTTCTACTAGACAAGAAAGTTTTTTTTTTTTTTTTTGCTCTGTTTTCATTGAGACTTCCAGTGTCTGGTTTAGGATAGTTTGTGGAGGTTTCATTCCATAATTGGCTGTCTTCAAGGTAGTATGGCATGGCAGGAGGGGCATGGTAGAGAACTTCTTACATTATGGCAGCGGGGAAGCAGAGAGAATTCCCCCGCCCCTTGGTTGTACTGAAGAGTGAACCCAAGGCTTCTGCCCAGAGCTATATCTCCAGCCCTTTTATATTTTGAGACAGGGTCTCACTAAGTTGCCCACACTGAGCTTGAAATTTCAATTCTACCTCAGCCTTACAAAGTGCTGGGATTATAGGAGTGTGCCACATAAATTGAGAAAAACAAAACAAAACAAAACAAAAAAATGGATATCAGAGAAACTAACTTGCACAGAGTGGCAAATGGCAGATCTAGGGCTAGGACATAAGTCATCTTATTCAAAGTTCAATGCTCAGCAGTAGACACAAAGTATGCTCACACATGCCCAACAGAAGGAAATGATATAAAGTGACATGAAGGAAAAAAAAAAAAAAAAAAAAAAGAAAAAAAAAAAAAAAAAAAAAAAAAAAAAAACAGGAAAAAAATCAATAGACACTAGGGTAGGGAATTGCAATAACCCAAATAGGACATTAAAATTGGATGTAATCCCCAGGAGAAGGGTTAAGAAGACACTGAAAATATGCATTAGAGTTAGTTCTGCAAATAATAATAATGAAGTCTATTAATCTTTAACAGTGGACTAGCAATAGAAAATTTTCTTGTTCAAAGTGACTACACTTACCTCACTGGCTGATCCCGAGAAAAATAGGGTGCATTTTAAGAGGGCAACATTATTCAAAACCACATCTCTCAAAAGTTATATAATCTTGTAATTGGAATTTATGCCTTGATTTTAACACATCACAAGGAGATTGATTAATCTGCAAAAAAAGGTAAGAAATGCTTATGCTATTTTTTTAAACCATGACAAATCTTCCCTAACACTGGCTTATCACCTAAAATACTAAAAGCCCTGCTTGTAAAAAACAAAAACTCTCAACTGTTCAATACATTTAGAGAAAAAACACAAAATTGAGGCATGAAGAAATATAGTAATTACATTAAGGGTATATAGCTTTTAGGTAGCAGAGTTGGCTCACAGCTATTACTCTTGGCCTGTATTATACCTGTGTAGGATGTTACTGAAAAGTGCTGACTTAAAGCCTTGTGGTCACACTGAACTGATAAGTGGAGACTATACTGGTGATGCAAAAATGAAGATTTAGAAAAGGGACCAGAGGAAGAGTCAGGAAGACTTGGCTTTATTTGTGACACACAAACTGAAAATGCTGACCAGATGAGAAAGCCAGTTATGTTAAGTGAGCTTAGCAGCATAATGGAGGATTTCTCCCTTGAGCTGGTGCTGGTGCCAATCAGAGAAATAAGATAAAGTGAAGTGGAAGTGATTCTGACGATCTCAAATCATGACAGAAGCCCTAGGGACATCTTTGGGGGATAATATGTCATTAGAAATCCTCACTCTCTTCTTAGAATTTGGATGGTAGCCACAAAGGGAGTCAGCCCACAATATTCACTGAGTACTTTTTCTCACAAAATACCCCCTTTCAGTCCCTAGTTGTGAATATAGAATAGTTGCTGTCTTGATTTAATGTTTGCAAGACTGAGTTCTCAAGAGGACAGGTGTTCTGTAAATTCCAGATACTACCAACTAATGAAAAAAGCAACTGGAACAACAACAAAATCACTACTACCAAATTCCATGCTAGAGTTTTAGGAGTGATTAGATTTGTAGTATTAAGGGAGGGGGTGGGAAAATATATTATGTACAGGTACAAATTTCCTATGATGCATGTTATCATTATGTATATCTAAAATGTATCAGTAAATGTTTTGGCAAAAAAGAAAAAAAGAAATCATTTAGGTGCAACTGTGGCTAGTCTTGCTCTGCTGGTCTCAGGCTCCAAGGACTTCTTCTAAGCCATAATGTTAAAGTGCAGTCTTTCCCTTAGGTTATCTAGCCATGACTCCTGTCCCTCCCTAACCTCTGCACATCCAGGCAGGAAAGTGAATGTTTATATATACATGAGTCACAAATCTGTGTAAACAAACTCAGTGTGTTAAAGGACTTTATAAATGGCTCTTATTCATTTTCAATGGGCTTTACACATCTAAAATCTGATCCAAATTCTTAGCAATCCTTGTCTGTCATTCTCAATTGCTTTCCTCCAGTGTTTGCCCCCATTTAACAGAACACTCCCTCCCTTAACTCCCACATCCTTTTTATCACTAGTGTATACATTTAAAAACTAATGGATGAACGAATGGCCGGGCGTGGTGGCACATGCCTGTAATCCCAGCACTTGGGAGGCTGAGGCAGGAGGATCGCTGTGAGTTCGAGACCACCCTGGGCTACATAATGAGTTCCAGGTCAGTCTCAACTACATAGTGAGACCCTGTCTCAAAAAACAAAACAAAACAAAAATCATAGATAAAAAATAATGGATGTAAATATTCCTCATGTCTATACAATGTTAATTTGGTAAGAATTTATATTGTTCCCATTAAGGAGCTAAAAGCAAAATGCACTTTGTAAATATATCTTTCTTTCATTTCCATAGGTGGAAAATTAAATAAATTCCAAACTTTTTAGGCCACACCAGCTTTTCTTTTTTGGGGGCGGGTATTGGGTATCGAACTCCAGTCCTTGCGCTTACGAGGCAGGCACCAGAACCACTGAGCTAAAACCCTGGCCCAACAACAGCTTTTCTACTTGATAGTTTTGTAGAGGTCAGTAAAAAGTGGACACAATAGTTGGCTAGAAACTGAACTTCAGTAGGGAGAAACAGATGCTTACTACTTAGCAAGACAATAAAAAATATGTTCTGGCTTCTCATTATACACTTAAAAATGAAGCGTTTGCTTAAAAAAAAAACCAACAAGGTGCAGATACTGCTAAACATTAAAAGCTGGTAATTCTCCTTTTTTAGTAGACTGTCTTAATGATAGTTAATAGTGAATTTGGACTTCTTATAAAGGCTTGGAACTTCAGACAGGAAAAGAACACTGACAATCCACTCAAAATAACTGAGTTGACTACATTTCAACATAACTGAAAGTTACTATTTTCCTTTTAGTTTTTAAAAATGGGTGACGGGTGTTGACCTTTAGCTTATATTCTCTACGCCAGAGCAAACATCAACTCACAGGTCTTTATTTGGCTAACTTCATCATTAAGGCTGCCAAAGAGGATCCACTTGAACTAATGCAGGATTACAGGTTTGTACAAAGGACAACATTAAACACTGTTCAGAAATGACCTCATGTGTTTTTATAGGTTCCATATAAATACATAGAATGGAGCCAGGGATTAGTTCAGTGGTTCCACCACTTGCCTTGAAAGTGCAAGGTCCTGAGTTCGATCCCCAGTACCAAAAAAAAAAAAAGAAGAAAAGACTAAATTTATAGAATGACTACCTTATTTCCATTTTATAGATGAAAACACTAAAATAATTAGTATTTCTCAATATTTACTGAACATCTATAGCAGGAGATGTACAATGCCACGTCTGAAGAGATGGATTTGCAGAGATGGGATCTGAGTCAAGCCTTAATGCACTGTGGCTGTTTTACAGACAAAGGCGGTAGTGTGGCAGATGGGACAGTATGAACAAAGGTACAGAAAACATGCAGGATGATTATTTAGTTATTGTAGTGGCAGCCCATGGAATAAAAGGTTTAAAACTCTTAAGAAAGAAGCTCTGGTTAAAGACATTCCACTCTGGTAGGCAGTAATAAGACAGCAACAAACCTTCTGATGTAAGCCCCATCCATTCCTCCATGTTTTCCATTTGAGTCCTGATTCATCTTGCTAGAACAACTCCCTATTACCTCCTTATCTAAAGTTAAATAACCTCTGTAAGCCAGAGGAAATGATCCTGTCAAAACTGTAATTGTAAACATGTAATTTTGAACACAATGCAGATTCTTCTAAAGATACGGTGGGTGCTGGATGATCCAGAAAGACTTTCTCTGGATAATGTGCTTGTCTAAACTCTTATTTAAAAAACAAACAAACAAAAAAATCCCAATCTCTCACCTTGACTGTGATTTCCTCTTTTGAGAACTCACCTGCTGTTCCCCTGTACAGTTTACCCAGATCTAAATAAACTCTTGCCTTTTCTACATTCCTGGTCTATTGGCAAAATAGTCACCGGTCTTTTGACACCTCACAGGGCAGTTATTGCACAGGATATGAGGCAGGGCAGTACAGAAGGGAGAGACAAAATGTTCAGAGTTTGCAGATGTCCTTGAATGCCACTGTGGTAGTAATGTTTAAGAGAAAGGCGTCCTGGAAATCACATAGAAGGATTGCAGTCATTCTCAAAAGAGGTAAAGCTCAACTGAACACAAGTGGGAGTACAAAGGTAGTGATATGAAAGACAGCAGAGGTAGAATCTGTGTAATTTGGCAACTAACTGGATATCAGCAATGAAGGTTGTGGACAAACTGAAGATAATTGGCACATTAATTTCAATCATTTTACATTTGAGACATCCTTGGGTTAGATATAAAGAAATTTCTATTGGGAAGGTAGAAATGTAATGTAATAATCAGGACAGATATTGATATAGAAAAGCACAGAGACATGATGTTTGAATCTATTATGGACAGCTAAGTTATAGGCAGTCAGACAGGGCTGGGCCCTCAACAGAGTCAGCGCAAAACACCAAAACATCTTAAAACCATAGCAGGAGACCCATATGTTGGAGACCAGGCCTCAAGATAAAGATTAAATGACCAGGCCTACATACTTCCCCAAAGGACAAGATAAGTGACCTGACAAGACACCGGGCCTAATGAAGTCTAAATAGACATTAGTCACCTCAGTTGGTGACAATGACCTCTGGACCCATCATTTTCTAGAAAAAGTCTTTGTTCTTTCTATGCACACGTGTCACAAGACTTGTTCCCCCACTGGATCACTATTACCTAAGCGACTACCCTTGTAACCTTATTGGTTGTCCATATGTTTACTCACATTGTACCCACACAGTTTTTGCTTTATAAAACTTCCCCTGAAATATGAGGTGCTCTGCTACCCATTCGGAACCGCCCCTGCCTTTCAGGAGCAATCCTGTCAATAAATGTTTTCTACTTGTAACCTCTGTTGCTCCTAGAATTCATTCTTCAATTTTAGAAAACACGGTGTATCAGCTGTCGAATAGGTTGGGAATTACATCACTTAGCGGTCCTATTTCATCTTCTGTATCATCCCTGTATCAAATCCACATAAAAAAATCACTAAGGAATAATTAGAATACAAAGAGGAAAAAAAAGGATAAAAAGAAAACTGTAAGGGAACATCTGTACTTTAAGAAAGTAGGAAAAGAAGGAACAGTCACTGATGTTGCCTGAATAGTAAGAGAGGTAAGAAATGAGGTGACAGAAACCAAGAAAGAAAATTTCTAGAGCTGAGTGTTGTGGAAGGGAATGTGTATTCAGTTTATTGTATTCACAGAGATCACATCCAATCCCCACCTAGCTACTAAATTAGCACAACAGAAAGCAAAACTGCTTTTCCAAAAGGAAATGATTGTTTTACCAATGGTTAACCTGGGAATCAGTCATCACAAACTGAAAGCGCCAATCTCTTCTCTAACATTCTATTTTTGGGGGTGGGGGCGCGCACGGCTCATGAGCTTTTTAGATAACTACTATTAATCATGCCCTAGACCGTAGGTGACCGCCTCTGTCTTCGCGGCTCAGTGATTACATTCAGGACTGCAGAATCCGAGGCTGGCTGGAACGCAAGCCTGAAGCAGCGTGGACGCGGGCTTGTCAATCAACCTTACTAAGCTGCGGTTTCCACACGCGCCAAGGGGGAGGATGGTGGTACTTACCTGTTAGAGACGGCCAGTTGAGATAACGCAAATAAAACTCTCAGCAAGATAACATCAGAGGTGTTCGAGTTTCTTAACTTCACAGAGGGCAGAGGACTACTCCAACACCGTTGCCCAAATCATTCTGCAGCTGCGGAGACAAAGCTCTCACCCAGTCAGCCCGCAGGGAAACCTCACCCTCGGGAAGAGAAACTAGCGGCTGACTTAAGCTCTCGGGCCGAAGAGAGCTGCGGGGCGCCAGCGAACAGGAGC